TTCAAAATAAGAATAAGGGAAAAAAGATAAACTCCATGCTCTCCTGATATTGCACACTAGGCTCATCTGGAAGAGTTCACTTTATGAAATTCATGCTGTGTTGATAATGAATGAGGGGACACTGCTTTAAACAGAGCAGGGAGCCAAAGAGAATGGCATTTGAAATGGGAAAGAATGAACAACATGGCTTGCAAAATAAACTCTTCCATCCTAATTCTTCACCCTTTTTTAAGGAAAAAAAAAAAGCTTATTCTTATTGAAAGAAATTATATGAGCAGTTCATTGAGTCTTTCTTTAATAATAAGTAGGCACCTACTGTGTCCAATTCAGTAAAACAGGATATGATCCCAGTCTTTTAGGAAACTTTCTGCATAGAAGTAGGAATAGATGTACAAGTGATGCTAATTGTCTTAGCTTGGGCTGCTGTAACAAAATGCCATAGACTTTGTAGTTTATATCCAACAGGGAATTTGTTTCTTATAGTTCTAAAAGCTGGGTGTCCAAGGCTAGGGTGCCAGCATGGTCAGGTTCTTGTTCAGGCCTTCTGTGTTACAGACTGCCTGTTGCAGACTTAGCATATCTTCACATGGCAGAGGAGAGTAAGCTAGCTTCCTAGTCACCTCTTATGAGTACACTAATCCCATTCACAAGGACTCTACCTTTTGAATTAATTACCCCTCAAACAATCTACCTACACATATCAGCTTTACAAATTAAATTTCAGCATTTAAACTTTAATTTATTAATAGTGGTGAGATGGCATCCTGTCTAGAGCACCACAGGACCACAGAGAAAGGTGTTCAGTAGTTCTCCCTGATACATCACAAAAGGACATTTGCACTAGCTCTTAGCTAATCACAATGACTATCATTTATTAAGTGCCAGCTATATGCCAAGATTTTGCTAAGTACTTCTTGTTTGAAAGCCCTAGTTTCCTTTGAGAACTATTCCCTTGCTTGTGATCACTCAGAAAAGCTTTTAGTCTTTCAGTAATAGATTTCACCACATCATATGTTTATTCTGCTCTGTTAATTTTCCTGGGATTGGAACAGTGGATCTAGGGACATTTGTTTGTCAAACACATTTTCTCCCTCCTTTCTTTATACGTGGCCCTTGCTGATTTTTTTTCAGTTCCTGTTAGGCTTGTTATTCTATAGCTGTCAGTTGTACTGTGCTATGACCAGGTTTGTGGGAGTGAGGAGAGGTGGATGTACTTCCTGGTTTGGGATGGCTAATGGTAGTGACTTTCACATTTCTAAAAATCACTTGAATGCATTTCTGTTTTTCTTCCTAACTGACTTTAATGTGCATATAACTGAAATATGGACTGCTGATTTGATAATACCCTTTAAATAAGGGATCAAAAATAGTTACCAATACATTGTTCAGAAGGATAGAAAAACTGATTAAGAGAAGCTAATTAATTGTGTTCTGGTATAATTTATAAGAAACTTGATTATTAGGAAATTCAGCCTTTCTGGTTCTTTGGCAAACCAAATGCTTTAGAAAGCAGGTTCTACAAGTCTTGCTGCTTGGAATTTGTTCTGTCACTCTTATATTTGATTTCAGTTACCCCTTTAAAGCACTGTTCAGATGCCATGGTTACAGAATTTAATACAAGTCCTTCACCCTAAAAGTCCACAGGTGAGGAGGGAAGAAGTTGCATAAGTAAATATAAAAGACAGGCCATTCTGAAATGTCATCAGAGCCAGAGTAACCTAAGTGATGTAGATGAATACCTCACACATAATAATAGGTGCTTGTTAAATGTTTGATGAATGAGAGAACAACTGTACCTTGGGGAACTTTGAGAAGAAGTTGGATTGGACTATTCCTAGAATATGAATGAAGTTTTTATAGTCCTGGCTTTGTAATTTTCAAAGTCAGCCTCTATGACACTAAAGAAGTACAAACTTCTTGCAGTGTGAATACAAAGTGTTTTAAGGATAAGCTCTGTGGGAATTTATTTAGAGCTGCACAAAAAGCAGCTCATTAGGACAGGTTTCCCCTGAGAATGGATGCTCACACTGATATATTATCTTCCATGAAACATAAAGATTTTAAACACACTAACTAATTCTTTAGTAAGTAATTAAGCATCTTTTCTGAGTGTAGTCTATTCCAGAGCATGCAATAGTAGGTATTTCCTTAAGGAAACTAGACAAGCACATTGAAAGGTAATAAAAAGACTCCTGTAAAGAGCAAGATGGCAGAATAGGAAGCCTCGGAACTCTTTCCCCAGCAGGGATTCTGACAATATCCTGGCCTTTATGAGAACTCTAGAAACTAGTTAAGAATTTACAGCATATAGCCCCAAAGTCAAGAACAGTCACTGAAACAAGTAAAAAGAGCTACTTCACTTTACCCATGACTATACCTCCTCCAGCCACCTGGCTTAATGCCAGAAAAAGATGCTTTCACTCACAGTTTTTTCAGGACAGAGTTAGGAGTGAAGGGTGGAGACAGGACTGTTAGCAGGCTGATTTCTGTCTTGCCTGACTCAGAGCTCAGGAGGAAACAAAATAGGTTGGTGGATGGTGGCTATGGAATCCAAACTACAGCAGACAGCCTGCTGTTGCACCAGAGGGCCCACAGAACCTCAGAATCCAGTGCAACTTAGCATGATCAGGAAAAGATAACTCTCAGTTTTTTTGTCAAGGGAAGAAGAGTAGAGCCATTCCTTTAGTGTGCCCCAACTTTCCAGTGGACTGACTGAGGGACTTTTGTCTGTCTTACCTCCTTTGGTCTGCTCAAAGGAAGCAAATGTATTTTAGATGTTGCTCAAAGCAAGAGAGAACAGGGAAACTTATACCACAACCAGAGAATGTTCAGAGATAATGACTTCTTGATTAAAGGATGCAGCATTCTTTTTTTCCAGTTAATTATTTATTTAATAACCACATACTTAGAAGAAGCATTTCATTACAACAGCATTGACATATTCAATAACAATTTTCTGAGCTAAGACGCATCTTTTTCAAAATTGGCTGTAAATTTTTAGGTTTACAGTTGAATCGTTACAGTTATACAATATTTTACTCAGTATAAACCCTATAAGACATAAAATTAAATGGTTTTAACATTTTAAAAAGATCACTCCATTGATCTCCATTTCATTATTAAAATACACAGTTTCATACAGAAAAATTCATTTACAATGCAATTGACATTAAGATATTTGCACATGCATTTCTAACCTCTATATATCTGATTGCTACTAGTGACAGTCGGTTACTTTCTGAGCTCCTTGGTATCTGAGCATGGATATAAAGCCATCAGATAGATTTCAATGGTTTTGTTTTTCACATCTACT